CGGGCTGGGCTGGGGATCGGTGAGGGGACCACCCAGACGGCAGACCCTCGAGCCATATTTTCTGGGCAGAGGCTGGTCGAGAGGCCTTTTCCAGTCATGCATATTGGGGCCACTTGTGGCAGTATCGGGGTCCAGGGCTCTGGCTTCAGATCTGTGTGTCCAACGCTCAGTCGGTGGCTGGAGCTGGCATGTGGCTACTTAGGCATCACGTGGCATGAACAAACGGGGCCCCCGGCTCCCCTACACCACCTCACTTCCAGGATCCACACCGGACGCCATAGGGACGGCATCTCCCCCACTGCACGGCGGCCCCCAGACACACTGGGACTCAGGGCAGGGTTTGGGCTTCTCCCCACACGAGTGAGTGAGATGTCCACGCACAAGTCTCCCGCAGGAGCCTGGACCCGCCCCGTCTTCTGTTGGGGCAAACTGCCCAGAGGAGCTCCAGAATCCCCCAGGGGGAGCCTGGTTCCCAGACAAAAGAGCCCCCTGAATCTAGAGGACAAACCAGGGTGGGCAAAACGGGGCTCGGGGCCAGCTGGGGCTCAGCCACGTGGAGGGACAGTCCACGCACACATCAGTGGCAGGAAACACTTTGGAGTGCTTGGCTGGCCTTACCAAGAAATTACATGTCTGTTCACCAGTATTTTCTGGTGCCCATCAGTGTTATAGATAATCACATATTTTGTAAACAGTGTTTACGTGCTGGGAGGTTATTGAGTCCAGCTTTGAATCGGCCACAGAAGTGTGATATCCATTTCTCGGGCAGCGGTGCCCTCTGGTGGCAGCGTACTTCTCTGCCCGTGGTGGGAAATGGGGTTGGGGGGTTTGTGGGAGGAAGGGGGGTATTGCACTTAGAGATTTCATTTTGCCTTTCAAAGCCCGAGAGCCTCCAGCCAGGGGGACCCTTTGCCTTCTGGTGGGGCCGTCGCTGCCAGGCCAGGGCCACTCTGCCCATCTGCGTCCACCCACGGCCCCGCCCAGACACCGCCTCCTCCCAGGCCCCCTGCGGCCCACGTCTCAATGCTCTGGCAGGCTGGGTGCCCTCTGCCCAGAAAGCCCGGCCCCACCCTCCCTGGCGGGTCCTTCCTGCTGCCAGCAGGCCGGGCCTCCGCTGTGTCCTCCAGGTCCCAAGGCAGGTGGCCCCTGGCAGCGTGCCTCACCCCCATAGCCTGTCCTCTGCTCCGAGATGTGTTTCTCCAGCCTCAGCCGCAGCTCCATCAGCCTGTCCCCCTCCCCTGGCGGGCCCGGCTCCACCAGGATCAAGTGGGAAAGGTTGCTGTCCAGAGAGCAGAGGGGCCTCTGGCCACCGCCGTCATCCGCGGGGTAGTGGACGGGGCTGTCTTCCTGTGCCCAGTGGGGAGACCAGGCAGAGCCCTCAGGAGGCCACTCGGGCTGGGTCCACGGGCCATGCCTTGCAGGCCGCACCGGGGGGCCCTGAGAGGGCCTCTGCCTGGGACTCAGTTTCCCCAGCCCTCAGGCGGCGGGAAGGCTGACAGCGGGGGCTGGGCCTCCCATGAAAGGGGGCGGGGTGGGTCTTTTTCAGACAGAACCGTGGAGGCAGCCTCCTAGACTCTGCAGGGGCTGGAGTCCAGATGTCCATGGGGCCACCTGGGCCTCCCTCAGTCACGCTTTAGACAGACCCAGCGTGAGGGACAGGAATGAGGACCAGGCCTGCGTGCTGCTGGCCCAGGGAGGCACAAAGCTTGGGGTGGTGGCCAAGCCTGGCCTGGCCTGTCTGGCTCTGGCGGAGGCCGGGTCCCTGCCCCGTGGGTCTTGCTGGCCTGTCCCTCTACGGTGCTGCCCCTACTGGCCTCCTCCTGCCCCGCCTTTCATCTTCCCAGAGCTCCGCCCACTGTCTCAACCCTTCCCAGCCTCCCTGCCTCCACCCACTGGCTGCGTCCCCAAGCCTGTGACCAGGAGGCCTAGAGCAAGGGTGGTCTGTCCACGGCTCCTCCTGCCTCCCAGACCACCGTGCCCTGTGGCCATGGTGCTCGGGGCCAGTGCTCACCTGGGCATTCTCCAGAAGCTGCTGGTGCAGGACGCGGCCCAGCGAGGCCAGGCCGATGGCGACCACGCGGACCTTGGCGGACGTGCTGGCCAGGGAGTGGTCGCGCACAGCCTGCCCCACGTGCCGGGCCAGACCCACACGGAGGGCGCTGGTCAGGATCCAGGCACCTGTGGGGCCGGGGCGGGGATCATTGTGCTGGTGGCCCCAGGTCCTCCCTGGCCGGTCTACCCAGGCCAGGGGACCAGCCCTAACCCCTCGGCCCAATCGGTAGCCAATGACCCGGGAGCCAGGACTTGGGTGCTGGGGAAACCAAGGCCCAGAGAGGGTGAGGCACTTGTCCGAGGTGGCTCAGAAGCTTGGGACTGGCTGGGCCCAGAAGCCCAGCTTCCAGGCCTGGGGAAGGGGCACCCTGGGCGCCCCCTGGACAAGCCCACAGCTCCGTCCAGTGCCCATGCTGGACCAGAATCCCAGAGTGTTTTTCCAGATTAAGACCCCTGGCCATGTCTGCCTCGAAGAGCTTGCTCCCTGGGTCACTGACATCTCTGCACTGAGGGGTCCAGAGCCCCGAGTCTTTCTCCTGGGCTTTCTGCAGGCCGAGGCCACCTCAAACAGAGCCCAGTGATTCGCTTGGGCCCCCAGGACTGGCAGGCCCAAGACTCCCCAGACTGGGGGCGGTGGGGCCCACCCTGCAGGCATCTCAGCACAGTGAGCACAGTGGGTGGAGTGCAGGCATCTCGCGGAGGCCCCTGGGTCCTGTGAATGGAGGGGGTGGCCCTGAGGAAGGACCAGGTCTCTGCCCAGCTGGAAGAGCCCCCGCCCAGCTACACTGCGCCTGGGGGAGGTGGGAGCATCGACACGGAGGGCTGAGTGAGGCCACGGGGTCAGGGGCGGCGGTGGGTGGCCCGTGGCCGTGGCCTGTGGCCTGAGGCAGGGCCTCACCCGTGCTCTGAGCCGCCTTCACCAGCCCATTCCGCAGCACGTCCCGCAGCCAGGGCTTCATGGGGAAGGGCCTCTCCTCGCCCGCCAGGGACACCACCAGGTTGGGCGCTGGCAGATGCCACTCGGTGAGGAGCAGGTCAAAGAGCACCGAGGAGGCCACACCCCCGGGCACCTTCACGAACTGCAGGGGGGCCACCGCTCAGGGCTCGCGGGCGAGGGCCTCGGGACCCCTTGTGAGACGGCCTGGCCCTGCTGCGGCCCACCCCCGCCCCATGAGCCGCGGCGGACCGGGGGCATCTGGGCACAGCCCCGAGGAGCAGGTCCCGGGTGGGCAGGTCCTTCCACGGAAGGACACAGGGCACGTCGTGGTCACCGGCGCCCGGGGCCCCTACCTTGCCTCGCTTCTTCCCGGACCCTCCGAAGTCCACCTCACCCCGGAGCAGGCCCGGCCCCTGCCCGTCTCCTGCGTCCCTGGGGCTGCCGGGGCAGGGTCCGTGGGCGTCCTGCATGGCGGCTTCTCTGTGGGGACACCTGAACTCCCAGGGCTGGAAGGGCTGACCCCCACTCCTTCCCTGTCGGGGCCGGAGCTGCCTTCTCCAGGAAGCCCCTGTCCCCACGCCGGCAGGAGCCTGGGGCCGCCACGAGGGCCTTCTCTCCCGCGGGCGCCATCCCCCCACAGGGCCCCACCCCCCGGGCCCAGCACCCCTCCCCGGATGAGGTGGGGTCACGACCCCGGCAGCTCCTGGCCCTAGACTCACCCCGTCCCAGGCGCCTTGGCTGGCCACACCTGTCAACACTGCTCCAGAGGTTTTCTGGGGTTGTCCTGGAAACCCCACAAACTCAGTGGGGGACTCACAGCCTTCTGGCCACAGCCCGCCTCCCAGGACAGGGATGAGGCTCCTGGGTGTGCCTGGACCGGTGGGTGGGGAGGCAGGGTGGGTGCTTCGGGGAGGAGGTGGCCTGGAGGAGGGGCCAGAGCGGGCTGGACTTCTCCGGCTCACACAGCGGCAGCTCCAGGACCCCCTCGGTCTCCTCCTGCCCAGCTCCTGCCTCAACTGCCCCCCGGCCACGAGGCTGGCAGCTCGGCCCACCCTACGCGACAGGGGCCCAAAGGCTGCAGGCCAGCAACTGTGATGCGCTGCGTCCCTTAGGCCCCCCATGACACGCTGGCTCACCATCGATGTCAGCCACCACCCAGCACCGCCTCGGCTGACCCCAGCCCGTGCCCTGTCCCCCTCATGTCCTTTCTTCAGAAAACTCAGTAGGGGGCATGCCAGCCCCTCCACCCACTCCCCCGAAGCCCAGCGCCAGCCACAGGCTGCTGGCAGGAGTCACCCGGGCCGGCCAGGCAGCCGCCCACCCTCGGGCATCTCTGCCACCCTACCTGACCTGGGGCTGTTCGGCATCTCCTAAGTCTGCAGGGCCATCCCCGGGGCTCTAGGTGCCCGCCCCACCCTCTCACGCCCAGAGGCAGCCCCCAGCACCCTGGGCAGTGCCCGGCCACAGGCCGACCCTTTCAGAGGGAAGCTTGGGCTGTCTGCAAGACCCCTGGCTTCCGAGAGAGGGGCCGGCCTGTATACACAGGAGGGGACCTAGGGTGGGCGGGGTGTCTTCACCTGCCTCCTGGGGCTGGCCACAGCCAAGGACCAAGGCCAAGTCCTCACCACTGTGCCTCTGGGGCCAGCAGCTATCGTGTCCCCTCAAAAGAATGTGTGTCCTCAAAAGATTTGCTCGTCCTAACACCTGGTACCTGTGAATGTGACCTTCTTCGGAAATAGTCTCTCTAGATGGGATCAAGAGAGGAGACTGAGGGAGGTCATGCTGGGGTAGGTTGGTCCTTCTCCCCATGGCTTGTGTCTTTATAAACAAGGCGACATTTGGGTCGGGTGTGGTGGCTCATGCCTATAATCCTAGCACTTTGAGAGGCCAAGGTGGGAGGATCGCTTGACCCCAGGAGTTCAAGACCCGCCTGGGCAACATAGCAAGACCTTGTCTCTGCAAAAAATAAAAATAAGTAAAAATTAGCTGGGATTGGTGGCACACACTTGTAGTCCCAGCTACTTGGGAGGCCGAGGTGGAAGGATCACCTGAGCTCAGGAGGCCGAGGTTGCAATAGCAGTAATCATGGCACTGCACTCTAGCCTGGGCAACAGAGTGAGACCCTGACTCAAAAAGTAAAGAAAAGGAAAATAAGAGGGGACATTTGGACATAGAGACAGGAAGATGCAGTGAAGATGTGGGGAGAAGTTGACCACATATAGACAGCGGCAGGAATGACGTGGCCACTAGCCACGGGATGCTGGGAGTCCCAGCGGCCACAAGAAACAGGAAGGACCCTCCCTAGAGCCTTGGGGAAGAGCTGGCCCTCAGAAGCCTTGACTTAGGGCTTAGTGCTCCTGGCCTCCAGGACGGTGAGAGAATCCATTCCTGGGGTCTTAAGATGCCTCGTCCATGGCCGTTTGTCACAGCAGCCCCAGGGCACCCACGGGGGCCCAGGTTGGGTAAGCGCAGCTTCTGGTGGCTGCCGGCCACTGGCAGGCCACCGGGCGCTGGGCCCCCTAGTCTGGCCAGGCCCGTGGAGGCACCCTGAGCGCTTGACACCTGGCCTCGCCCCTCCATGGGGCGGATGCAAATCCTCTCACTTCCCATTCCCAGAGCAGGGTGGGTATGGCAGCCACAGGGAGGGAAGGGGCAGGATTTGAATACGAGCTCCCAGCTGGGCCCAGCGTGAAGGTGTCCAGTGCTATTTTGGTGTTCAAGGACACACCCAGGGGGTGGGGGGGTGGGACATGGCACAACCCCGAGGCTGCATGGCAATCGGCTACCAATCTGGGGAAGTAAAACAGCAGAAATTCACCCCCTCAGGGTCCTGGAGGCCCGAGTCCAAATCTGGGTCGGGGGCAGGCTCACTCCCTCCAGGGGCTCTGGGAGGACCCTTCCTGCCTCTCCCGGCTCCTTGGCATGTGGTTGCGTCCCTCCAGTCGCTGCCTTTTCCATCACGTGGTCTCCGTCTCTCCTCTTGGGAGGACACGCCATTGGACCAGTGTGGCCCCGTCTTGCCTTATTTCCAAATGAGGTCACCTTCCCAGGTTCCTCTGGACACTGTTCCACTATTAGGGTCCCTGCTATGGAGGGGTGGGGGCCTTATTCAACACAGCACAGGTGGACCTGCAGTGAGGGCAGGGTCCCCGGGCCTAGGCTGGTCTGGGGCTGCCCTCACTCCTGCTGGTCTGGTCATGTCTGGCCACGTATGGACACGTGTGCCACAACGGGGGATATGGGGCTGGACATGGCCCCCTGCCTAGGACGTGGGTGTGGGGTTTAGGAGTTTGAACCCCAGCTGTGACCCTCAGCCTGGTGGACAGGGCTGAGCTGGACACTGTCACCCTCATCTGCCCCGAAGGTTTCAGGCCACAAGTGGGGGACTCCCCCTTTCCTTGTGCACCCTGAAGGGAAAGTGATAGAGGCCTGTGCCCTGGGGGCCTTCCCTGGGCTCAGCAGTGCCTTCTCTGTCCTGTTGAAGCCCCCTGGTAGGAACCACAGCCTGTCAGAGGCGGAAGCAGGCCACAAGCCCAGACCACAAGCCCAAGCCATTGGCTCAGCCCACAAGCCCAGGCCATCAGCCCAAGCCAAGAGCCCAGGCCACAAGTCCAGGCCACAAGCCCAGGCCAAGAACCCAGGCCACAAGCCCAGGCCAAGAGCCCAGGCCATCAACCCAGGCCACAAGTCCAAGCCAAGAGCCCAGGCCACAAGCTGAAGCCGTCAGCCCAGGCCACAAGTCCAGGCCAAGAGCCCAGGCCATAAGCTGAAGCCATCAGTCCAGGCCACAAGTTCAGGCCACAAGCTCAGGCCAAGAGCCCAGGCCATCAACCCAGGCCACAGGTCCAGGCCACAAGTTCAGGCCACCAGCCCAGGCCATCTGCCCAGGGCACAATCCCAGGCCACAAGTCCAGGCCACAAGCCCAGGCCACAAGCCCAGACCATCAGCCTAGGTTGTAAGCCCAGGCCCTGTCCTTCCCATGAGCACAGGGGTCTTTTTCCTCTCTAATGGGACAGGGTAGGGCTGGGTCCCTGGGGGTTAGGGCAGCCAGCAGCAGTGTGGAGGGGCCTGGCAGTCCCTGCAGCCACCACTGTCACCTCTCTCCCCACGCCCAGGGCCTGGTCCCTACTTCCCAGCCCAGAGGCCAAGAAGGCATTTGGGCAGGAGCCAGGCGCCAGGCAAATGGGGCCCCACCACCAAGGGAGGGTATGCAAACAGCTGGGATTTGCATGTGCAGGTGCAATGCCCCCTCCCTGCGTGTCCCTGGAGGGGGTGGGAGCCGGGTAGCCGGGGGTCTCAGGAGGCGGGGGGCCAAACCCCCACCCCAGAACTCCCAGAGGCCAGGCGAGGCAGATGCCTGGGTCTGGCCTCAGAGGCTCAGGGCCAGCCGGGCACCCGCTGGCCAGAGGTCACTACAGAAACAGCGGGACCAAGTGCACCTTCCCTGGCAGGGCGCAGAGCCAGGCGGTCGGGTCAGCCCAGCCATCCCCTAGCTGCGTGACTTTGGGAAGAGCTCCCGGACACCCTGGGCCCACCTCATTCTGAGATGGGAAAACGGGCAGGCCCAAGGAGAAGGTGCTGGAAAAGTCCCTTCATGTAGCAGCCAAGGAGTCATGCCGTGACACTCTGTCCATCCCCCTAGCGAGGACACCCCGTCCCCCTGGGTTGGGTGTGGAGGACACAAATCGGGGGAGGAGACGAGGGTACACGGTGGTGATGCGGTGCCCTCAGAGTCCCCCCGCCACACCCTGCCTCGCTCCCTCAGCCCCTGCCCCAACTGCCCTTCTGGACTGCTTGGCCAGGCGTGGTCCTGGAGTCTCAGACCCAGAGCCCGTGGGCTGCCCGTCCTATCCACGCCCTCCCCAAGTCCTGGGCAGCCCCGTCCAGAGCACCCCACCTTGCCCATGGCAGGCCGTCCCTCCACAGCCCCAGAAGGGGAGATTCTCCCTCGGCTGGGGAAACTGAGGCAGAGATGTGGCCTGGTCACTGCTCCCCTCCTGCCCACCCACCCTTCCCGCCCAGGGAGGAGGGCACGTCCCTGTCCTGCTCCCCCCGGGGACCCCTACCTGCTTGCCTTTCCCGGCACCTGACACGGCGACTGCCCGAGAACAAGAGGAGTCTCTGTCTACCTCACGGTGTCCCCACAAGGCCAGCCTTGGCCCCTCCTCCTCCCGCCCACCCCGCCTGGTGCCTGAGTAGCCAACACCCACCCAGGGCATCGCCTGGCCTTCTCAGGACACCGGGCCACAGGCCTGCTGTCTGCAAAACCACCTGCCACCCTGGGACGGCCTTCCGGGTGTGGGGGCTTCCCGGGCCCCAAGGACACGTCCAGTCTGACCTGCTCAGAGGAGACCTGCATGGGGGTGGCGGCCAGGCTACCTAGTTGCTGTCATGGCCTCCAAGGGCTGTGCCTGGGGGTGGCTCTGACATGTGATTAGACAGAGCGTTTTGCCTCAGTTTCCCCAGCAG